TGGCACCATCAGATTGTCTCTTTAACCTGAGCAGGATCATCCCCAAAGGTCCTTTAGTTTAGAATTTGACCAGGAACAGTTATACCCTTTTATGCAACTGACTTTGTATAGAGTAGGTATTCAATAAATCAAGATGGATGAATAAATGAATGGGTAGAAGGAATAAGAAAAAGTAAAGATTAGGAAGAGGTTCCAACCCCAGTATATTATATGTTGGGGGTATACAATATTGATGGAGTTCAAATAAGGGTCACAAATCTATCCTTACATTTGTCTAACTCTTGTCAACCTTTGTTACTTCATGGGGATAACTCAGCCAGCAATTGGCTTCTGTATGCTGGCCTAGTATTTTTGTGCTAAGGCTTCCTTGTCCTTACATTTTGCAGATGATCCTTAAGCTTCTAGAAATGTAGTGCAGTGGAGACAGTGCAGGACTTGGAGCAGGAACTTGGGTGCAAATTACTGCTCTGTCAATTAAGGCTCAAATTCCGCCTATTATTTAATGGTTCTATGGCCATCGTGTTAGTTATATTTCTTTGAACTTTGTTTTAATCTATAAATTGAAAGAATAAATACCCTATAACATAGTAGGGAGGATCATATTTTCCCAATGAACATTTAATAAAATTGGCATTCTCCTCTAACCCATGCCTTCCCACTGTCATAATGCTACATACTTTAATCATAGCCTCACTTAAAACACAAATCCATAGGATTCTTCATATTTGGAATTTGACAAAACTAAGTTATCTTAGACTAGTGGTTCTTAATCTGTGATGGTTTTTTTCCCCAGGAAACATTTGGCAATGTCTAGAGATATTTTTGGCTATCACAACTGGTATGTGGGGCAGTTGTTACTGGCATTTAGTGGGAAGAGGACAGAGATGTGTTAAACATCCTACAATACACAAGACTGCCCCACATAGAAGGAATTATCTGGGCCAAAATATCAATAGTGTTGAAGTTGAGAAACTCTACTCTAGAGTAGTAGTCCATGGGAGAGACCAGCTTCTTACAGATCCCATTACCCAATTCATTCTGTGTGTGTGTGTGTGTGTGTGTGTGTGTGTGTCACCAGAGCAGAAGGTGGGAGAAGTAAGCAGGAAGTCAGGGGAAAGGACAGAAGGATACTAGCAGAGGGCTATTTCCCACAGCATCTCTGTGTAGAAAATCCTACTTTCCCTTCCAACTCTCCAAAAGCCCAAGACTTGTATCTTCTGGGACGTTTTCTCTGAGCACCCAAGGATCTAATTATCCCTCCCTTGACCTCTCAGGATTAGATTGCTGATTTGTAACTTAAATTGTATACATCCAAGAAATCCCTGGCTTCACATTTCACACATATACTACATACTTTAAGAACTGAGCAATTAGGATTCACATATTCTTAAGGTGGTTTACAAAATGGTGAAGTAAAGTGTGCATTCATGCGTTCCTGGCATATCTCTGGTGAAGGCTGCTTTGAAACTTCTTTTGAAAGTGGCTGCTAATGGACTGATAATTTGTTTTCTGGCTTCCTTATGAAATGTGAAGCATTCTGCCAGCCTGTCAACAAAGCATCAAGTATTGTGCAAACCGCCATCAGAGTTATTTGTATCTTCCTTCCTGTTGTATCTCTTGTGGTGGAAGAATAACTGGACAAGGTTTATGGGAAAGGTTCTCTATTCTTTGATAAGGAAGGAGGTGAAATGGGCAAAGCTTCTGGAAGGTAAAGAATATGTGCAGGCTGGCCAATGCTTTCCCACCATGACAGCCAGGGTGAGCAAATTTCCAAGGCAGAGACCGAACAACTCTGCATCCAATGCGTGGTGCTCAGCACAGGAAAGATAGGTGCTCAGTAGCTTGAATGGATGGAAACTGGTATTACTTCCTATTGATTTTGAGAAGGGGTCCCTGGAGATGAATTAACTAAGAACCAGAGAGTAAGAGCAATGAAGCTGGCTCCACCTTTTCTTTCAAAACATTTTTCACTGTGAGATAAATCATCTTCTTACAAACCTGAATCTAAAAAAGACTGTCTATTGAGCATCCACTACTATGAGGGCAGCTCAAAAGCCAACAAAATGATTCTGAAGTCTCTGCTTGCTATAGAAAATGTTTTGGAACATGAAGGAAGGGTATATTTGTGTATTCTTGGTAGGGTAATTCCCTAGTAAAGAGTTGTTTCGAAGAAAATATTTCAAGAGAAGAACAATACAATGCTTTGTACCTCTTCAGACAACTGCTCAAAGAAATTTGAGCCATTGAAATAATATCCCCAATCCCTTTCTATTTCCCAATAAGGAAAGGGCAGTATTGTTTGCCGAGTATTGTATTAATATTTATTGTGACTAATGTATTGTAAAATTTAGGGGACTTAATGACTTGCTAGAGGAGCTTTTATATATACATTTATGAGCACTTTATAAAACATAGAGACCAACCTTACTATTTTATATTTTTATAGACATTCGTTGTCCCTTTTCTACTGATAACACCGTAATACATTTGATCTAGAGTTAAGAGCAGAACACCAAAGTTTGACACTGTCCGTTAATCAAAGTATGACTTGCTCTATAATGATCCACTTTCAAAGTAGCTTCCAGGTATATATTGTGGGAGATGTGGGGACTATTCACATCATAGCGATCTTTTTCTATAAATATGATCATAGAGGGTTAGAATTTTTAGAGCCAGAATGGAGTGCAACCCTACTGGATAGGTCAGTAAATGAAAATCTAAAGAGGAGATGCCCTGGCTTTAGTCACCAAACTGAGCTAGAACTAAGAAACTCCGGATTTTGAAACCAAAGTCATCTATCTCAGTGTACCAGGTCGTTCTTATCACCATACTGTCTCTACTGATTGGACTATGAGCTCCCTGAGGGCAAATCCCAGGACCTATAAAAGTTTACCTGCTGGGCACTCAGTAGAGAGTGGGCAGATGGAAGTCCCTCACCTTAATGAAATGCAAATGTGACCTTGCTATATGCTGCAAAGGCATGGGGCTGGTTGGTTCCCTCTGGCTTCCTCCATGGAAGCCAGGATCCCTGAGACTCAAGCTGTGTCCTGTTATTCTCCAATGTCCAGAAACACCTGAGTGATGAAAGTGCCTGGGGATGTCATCCTGCTCTACCCAGAATTGTCTAGAAGAAGAAATGCCATGTCATCTCCCCAGAGTACCTGCTTCACAGCTCTCATCCATAAGCCTCAGTCCCCTATCCTTGTTTTAAACCACAGGGAGCACTGTCACAAACTTGCTGGGACAGCTCTATTCTCTTTCCTTCTCAGCTGTTTGCAAGCAGTGCCCAGTTCATTGGAGGCTGCCAGCCCTGCTCATGGACACCAAGGACCTGCTGGGCAGCACTTCGAGGTCTTCTGCCCTTCGTGAAAGTTTTACAAAGATGTTCTAAACCTGCTCCTAAGAGCCAAAAGGCCAAGTAAACTCTTGGAGGGGTTGAGCATCAGCCCCTCAGGTGGCATTCTGCTACCTGCCTCTTTCAGCTTGGGGAGCAGAGAAACTTAAGAGGCTGGCTGGTCCTGCTTCCCATGTCAATCCTCCCATCTCTTTGTTGCTGAAGCTAGATCCTCCTCCATTTCTCTCTGCCTTGTTTTATCTACATGGATTTCAGAGTCCCCATGGCACCTGGGGTTCCCACTGTGTGTACCTTTATTTTCTTAGGCCCTGCCTCTGCAGAGCCCTGCCCTGTGCACCCGTCCCTGGGGTTGGTCTCTGCAACGGGCAGAGTCTCTGTGTTTGCCTGCCCTGAGCTGCTCCCTGCTCCTCCAGGTCTTCGTGGCTCCCAGCATGCTACATGGCTAATGCTGTTGGGCTCTATATTCTAACCACAGTGGGGAACAGAGATGGGCAGGTATTGTGCAATTTATTTTTTTTCAATAAGGGTGATTTGTTCAATGTGTATTTAAGGGTGATTTGATCTTTAAACCTCTCAAGACTTTTGACATAAATAAACTCAGAAGTCATCAAAATGCTTTATCAGATAAAGTGATTTTTTTTTTCATTTTAAAAGTAGCATCACCATGGTACATCCCTACTCATCAACTCATACACCAAACTCTCAGTCATCACAGAGACCCTGACAGTCTCCCAGGCTATTCCTCCCCAAGCCCTGAGGGATCACCGATCTCTGGCATGTGAAACTTGAGGTACCAAGTATGCCACTGAGGCAGATGAAGGATCTGAGGGTTAGGCTGCCTGCCTTTCCCTGAGAGAAGCACATGGAGAGAGATGGAGGAGGTGGAGTGACGAGGGATGGGAGAAGAGGTGACAGCCCAGAGAAGCTGGAACCTTTGATTTTCCAACAGGACCATGCCGGGGCCTCCCTTGGCTACACACAGACCCTCATCCTTGCCAATCCCACGGCGACTGAAGACTTAAGATATCATTTGTGATGCAAAGTATGGTCAGGCCATTCAAGAGGAAGGAAGAAAGGCTTCTTTGTTATCTCCACAGAACAGACCACTCAACTCCAACCCTTTCCCCAAAAGATCAACAGTCCAAAGATAGCTTGATCCCTCATCCCTCCCTAAATCCAATAAGAGATGAAGCATTTTTAGGAAACTGTTTATATCCTGGCAAGGCCAGTTTCCCACAGCACTGGAGGCTGGTGGTGTCTACGATCTTACAAACTTGCCAGTCCCTTCCACTCTGCTTAATTGTCAGTGGTGGCAGTGAGGGTGAGCAGGAGATGTCTGGGTCTGAGCCTGGTGGGCTAAACCCCAGTGGTCTCTCCTTGCTCTTAAGGATCAACAAGAAGGGTAAGATGGTGTTGAAGAACATCCCCAAATGTCAAGAGCACTCATTCTCAGTACTATAGTCGACATTGCTGCCAGAAATGAGGACCCGACCAGCAATGTTCCGAGGAGTAGAATAAACTAACCAGAGTGTACCTGCTGTTACAACCTGCAAGGTTTCCAGGGATGGGGCCCCTGGACTAGCTAGGAAATGGGCCCTTGCTTCTTGGTGAAGACCCTGGCATGGCCTCCTCCCTGCTCACTTACACACGCAGCCTGGTTTCTTAGCCGACCATTGGTTATTCTTTTGGCATGTGATTGCCTTCTGCCCCACCAGCTCGAAGGCGGGCTGGCACTCAAACTTGAGTGTGTCACCGTGGCGAAACCGGGAGCCTTCCCTCTGGCCATACGCAGGTATGCCAGGGTCACCGCAACTGCCCTGCTCGATCTCTGAAAGACAGGAAGATGAGAAAACAGAGACAAAAGGTGACTTTATACCTCTTTTGGAGCTGATGGTTCACATGACATGCTCTGCTGCCCTTCTACCATAAGTCAGTGCTCAGAGTGACACAGGTAGGACTCAATGTTCTTAAAAGAAATGAGATTCATGAGAAATCCTGCAATGTCCTGTTTCATTGCAGCATCCTAGGATGGATGGGCTTCCAGCTATCAAGTGCCAGAGACTCTGTTTCTGCATGAAGTGTTCTAGATACTTGGATGTTTTCACTGGGAGAAGGTGTGTCTACATTCTTCACAGGTTACCTGTCCCAGGAGCAACAAGTTCCATAGCATTTGAAGTCTTTGGAGACTTCCTCACTGAACCTGACCTGACATGACCTGAACTGCTAATGTCACATGACAGATCTCAACTACAGTCCATTTCTGAGCAGCAAAGGCAAGTGCGAGATAACACAGCAGCTGAGGCTTTGCTACCTTTTTCCCAAACCAGAGATTAAATGAGAATAAATGTTTACCACCTGCTGATGTGGAAGCACTTTCATGGAGATGTTTCCTTAATTCAATTTGAGATGGTAGCAGGTAAAATGAAACAAATGACTCATTGAGGATCCTTTGAAAGTTCACTTGAGTCAACAGTTGTGAGTCAGACATGGAGTGGGTTCCCTGAGACAGCTCTGGGTGGGCATGATGGGCCGGCTACCTCACTGGAGAGGCAGTCAGGACCCAGATGCTTTTGGAAAGGAGTATGTCCTGGCCAAGCCTCTGGAGCTTCCTCTGGAGTCACCCCCACTTCCACTCATCCTGTGCTTAATGCTTTGAGAGATGGACAAGGAGGAGGGGGTGGTGGAGGGGAGAAGGAAGAAGAGGGAAGGGGAGGAGTTGTTTTCAGGGAGAAGGGCTTTCTGCAGGACAGATAGGAAGTCAAAAAGCCAGTACCAGATGGTGAGTGAGGACTGCATGAGTCCTGAGACTTGGGAGAGAGGGGCCAGAGTCATCAGGGGAGTTTTTTGGACACCTTCCCAGGATTCTCAGGACAAAGGGACCCTGCCTGTTCTGTAGACACCATTGTGGGCTGTCAGGCGCCACAGTCCTGAAGTTGGTGGGTGTGCTCCTGACAGAGATGATTCTGCGAAGGCTTTCATACCACACTGTGGGGCTTCTGTGGGCTGGTCAGGGTTGCCCATCAGTTTCAGGCACTGCCTTTTATGAGCAGGCTCTTGACTGTTGCATTCATGTTACTCCAAAATGAAGGATGCCAGCCTTGAACTGAGAGCAGACAGGACAAGGCATTCTATGGCTGGGATTGTGTGTGTGTGTGTGTGTGTGTGTGTGTGTATGTGTGTGTGTATGTGTGTGATCTAAGTCAAGCAACAAGGGTCCTCCCCCTTGTGCAGAGGAGTCTGTGTGACCATGTGCCAGGTGTGAAACATCTCAAGTGTAAGTCAGCCTACTTGCCTCTCACCTCACATGTCCCCTTGGCCTCACACTCTATAAGTATACCTGCTGAAAACACAGCTGAACCCCTTCTGTAGCTGGCTTTGCTCATGCTTAGGGATGGGGAAGGGGATACACTGAGCCATTCCAGGAACATGGTCCCCTTGCTCCAGGTCCCAGAGCCCCAGAGCATCTGGGAAAGAAGGAAAGAAGAAGGGGCCCCTGTGATAAGGCAACATGGAGAAGTAAGCAGCAGGACCCACCTGCTCCAGATGCCCCAGACATGCTCTCTGTGATGTGAGAGCCTGGGGTGTGAGGGCTGTCACTGCAGGCATTCTGAGACCTGGTGAAAGTTACACAGCATTTGAAGACTGAGCTGAATCCTTCCTGGTGCCAGGGGGCAGAACCCAGATATAAGGTTTCCCAGTGAGGCCCCACCATTGCTTCAGGAGATATGCATGTGGGGTGTGTGGGCCTGTGTTCTGGCCCACAGCAGCTAGTCTGAGGCTAAGATTGGCCTAAAAGAACAAGTGTCCTCAGGGGGAGGAAGGAATCTGCCCAGCCCTCCCATTGTGCAGGCACAGCCCTACACACATGCCTATATCCACCCACCCATCCACTTTCGCCTACCCTCATGCAATCACAGGCACCCATTTAAACACAAGGCAAGGAGCACCTACTGTGTGCCAGTTGCTGTGCTAGACCCTTGACATCTGGATATGGTCTCTGCCCTCAAGAAGTGAGCAGACAAGGAAACAGGTGATTATGATATAGGGGATTGGTGCTATGGATGCACATAAAAGAAGCACCTAATTCAAACTTGGAGGATCAGTCTGGAAATAGGGTGTGGAGAGGGAAGTACTAACCTCATCTACAAAATTTCAGGGGGCACCAAAATCTCAGTTATCATGACAAATAACATCTTAGTGCAATATGGTTTTTAGAAAAATCACAATTAATGCCATAAATCCAATTCACAATGAAAGCAAATAACAACATTGAAAATAAAGAATCCAACCCTATACTCAGATGACTCACCTCACTGGTATCACCAAGTGAGGTATCGGCACTGTCAGAACCCGTCTTTGATTCAAATGTTGATATGTTTTAACATGGATGTTTTGCATGAATATTAATTTGTTTAAAAAATTTGCATTAAGGTTTATTTATTCTAACTGCTGAGTTTTTTCCCCATCACTTACATTTTGTGTCCATGAGTGCCCTGCTCATCTGACACTAGTCCCAGCTCTGGGTCAGGAAAGGCTTCTAGGAGGAGGTGGTGTCCAAGGCAAGGTTCCAAGCCTTAAGGCTATGGAAGAGCCAGGAAGGTGAAAGGAACAGCAGGTGAGAAGGAGGGGAAGGGCCTTAGATGGAGGGAAGAACCCTTGCCAAGTTCCAGAGGTAAGACTGCTTGTAGGACTGCAATATAGGAGTGACAAAAGCTACTCAATAGTTATTGTCACAGCTAACTTTTAGTTCTGTAAGTGCCTGGTCTGGGCACTTGGGTGTGCTCTCTCTGAGACAAGAATGCAGGAAGAGATGTAGGTCTGAATGGAGGATCATCAGTAGGGCTTGCTGGCTGAGTTCTGAGGTGCTAGTGGGACCTCCAAATGGAAATATCTAGCAGGAAGTGGCTACATGGGTCTTAAGTTCAAGAGAGAAGTCTGATCTAGAAATTCAGCTTGCAGATGATAAAAGAAGCCATGAGGAAGATGAAATGACCCAAGGAGAGAGAGAAGGGATGTGGGTCCAGGACAGGACAGTTAGGGGCCAGGTAGGGACCAGCAGAATGCTAGACTGGGAGAGCGGGGTCACAGGAGCTTAGAAAATGAGTTTCAAGAAGGAGATCAACAGTCTCAAATGCTTCAAGGAAGTTTATATAGGATTGAAAAACAGGTTAGCAAAAGGAGGTCATACTGATACTGGCAGAATTGTGTGTATGGATGGGGCCAACACCCAACAGGAGAAGACAAAGATGATAGCTCTCTATCCAGAGAAATTAGGGAGCAGCTCATGAAGCATATGGCCTGGGTGGGAGTGGTTAAAGTCATTAAATGCAGGAGAAATTTGACCATATTGAAATGCTAGAGAAGAACAAAGGGGTTGGGGGGAAAATGTATAGAATTGTTAGCTGGAGATTTGGAGGAGAAATGGGGAACATCCCCCACAGGGGCTCCAGAGAAGGAGGAAGGCGTGGGACTGAGAGCACGGTGGAGGCCTGGCCTTAGAGACAAAGAGGGATTTGGGATTCTCCTTCCCTCAAGACCACAGTAGAGAGGGAAGAGGTGGTGGCAGTGAGTTTTCAGGTAGGGTGGCAGGAGACTGAGGGAGATCCTATGATGACACAGGCTCTATTTTCTAAGTGGAGGAAGTCACAGTCTTTGCTGAAGGTGAGGGACATGCCATGGGAAAAGGACTTGTTGTGACAAGAATGTCTGAAGCTGTCACTCTGGAGAAGAGGATATCAGGCCTAGATGCATTGCCATTCACCTCTGGGGCCTGCTGAGGGTGCAGATGACTCATTTGCAGAGACACCACCCAGCAGGGCTGTATGACTTGTCCCAGCAGCCCTAGGCCACTTGGTTCCTGTAGAAGTAGAGAAAGGTGTAGGAGGAGGATTGACTGAGTGAGGGGGGACTGGGCTTGGAGAAATGGAAGACAATGGGGCAAAGGAGCTGGAGATGTTGTTAAAAGAATGGCTAAAGTGTTATCCAAGGGGCTTAGGATAAAGAAGGAAAGAGGTAAAGGAAACAGGAGGTGATGGGGGAAACAGGGGTTGGGAAGGGATGACGGGCAGGAGTAGAGGGAGTGTCATGTGAAAAAGCTGAAGTATGTGGAGTTGAGATTTCAGAGATGCTTGAGGATGAGGTCCAGCGCAGCCAGGGTGAAGTGCACTGAAAAGAAGCGAGAAGGTCAAGACCTGAGAGGTAAGGTGATGGCAAGTAGGGAGGAGGAGACCAGTGACTGTGATGAGGAAGGGTAGAAAGTGTCAGAGCTGGAGACAGCAGAAGGTCAAAGGGCAAACCCCTTCCCAGGTTTACACATGGGTGGAAGGGCATTGGCAAGTGCGCATACGAGCTCTTCTCAAGGTGAAGTTCATCGGGTGTGGGGAAGTGAGCTGCTAGCACTGCAGAGGGCTAGAATTGTGGTGACTTCATGGCAACTCAGGTTCAAGGGAGAATTTGGTAAAGAGTTCCAAGGCATGGGGGATGGATGTGTTGCCCAGAAAACCAATATTGGGTGGAAGGGATAGGAAGAACAGAGCAGGGTAGGGTGAGAGTTTGGGAGCTCCTTCCAGGAAGGCAGAGGGGGCTGCTGGCTGGCTTCTCTCCCTTTGATACTTCCTGTCCTGGCCTAAGCCTTCTCTCCAAGCTCAGAGTCAACTCCTGCTGGGAACACAGGGACCAAGGCCCTTGTCTTTCTGCAAAGGGCTCCCTGTGTTCTGCTGCCCTGCCTGAAAGGTGTTTGACCTTGGCACTTCTGGTTAGGTGCTGAACAAGTCTGACTTCAAGACCCAGAATTGCAAATAGATAAATGGATTTTGATTTGTGGAAAAA